CAAAGTTCGTTCTGCTATAATTCTCATCTTCCCAATTGAATCCCTGGTTCCTTTTCCTCTTCTAAATCCAAACTGATCCTCTCCAAGTATATCCTCTATTTTCCTTTCAGTTCTTCTTTTAAGTACCTTTGCTATTATCTTTGCTGTATGTGCAATAAGGCGTACTGTGCGATGGTCGCTGCATATTGTACCTTTTGTCTTTTTCTTTAAGGCAATCACTGTCACTTCTGTAAAGTCCTTGGGCCACTCCCCAGTTTCATATATGGTGTTTATTAGTTTTGTCAGTGTTTTCAAACCACCTTCTCCCAGTAACTTAAGCACATCTCCAGGTACATCATCATCTCCTGTAGCCTTTCCATTCCTCATGTCCTTGATAGCTTTTTCCACCTCACTTTGTAAAATATATGGTCCTTTCTCATCTGTATCTACTTCTTCTACCGGTTCCACTTCCAAGGTTTCTTGCCGATCAGGTCGATCATATAGTTCTGTAATATAATTTTCACAAATTTTCAGCACTTACCTCTGATCTACTATTCTATTCCCCTGGGAGTCTTCGATGCCAATATTTTGAATCCCATGGTTCTCTTTCCATCCTAGTTCTTTTGTCTTCATGTACATCAAATCATAACACCCTGTCCTTTGAAATTCTATAATCTCATTACATATCTTCTCAAGATATTCTTTTGGCCCTGTCCATGGCTCTTTTCAATTCATTCCTCAGTCTCCTGTATTTCCTCCTGCCTTCTTCATTGTTTACATTCTTCCATTTCTTTCGCTCCTCCATTTTACTCATCATCTCCTGTGTAACCCATGGTTTTCTTGCTATCTTCTCAACTTTACCAACCAATTCGCCAATAGTACCTAACATGCATTCTTTTATATTGTTCATCTGAAGAAAATGTGAGATCATGCATATATGTTAATAATCATATTAATGCTTTACCCTTGCTGGAGTTTTGTTCTAGAGACACAACAACAGTGAGGATGACATACACATTGGGCGGAGACTGTGAGGAGCTCATCGTCACTTCAGCTTACCTTCCATATGACTAGGATGAACCACCACCTTCCAAAGACGTGAGGGACATCATTGGATACTGTCATCTTAGGAAAAAGCAGCTCACCATTGGGTGTGATGCCAATGTGCACCACATGCTGAAGGGGAGCACTGACATCAAGCCAAGAGGAGAATGCCTCATGGAATATTTGGTGAGTTCAAACCTTAATATTCTAAACCTAGGTAACGAGCCACTACCTTCCAAAGAAGTGATGGACATCGTTGATTACTGCCATCTTAGGAAAAGGCAACTCATCGTTTGGTGTGATGCCAACATGCACCATACACTGTGGGGGAGGTTATCGACTTGACACTAGGGACCAATAAAATAGGAAACCTGATCAGTAATTGGCATGTATCTGATGAGCCGTTCCTATCAGATCACAGATATACATGCTTTCAAATAAGGAACATTACAGTAGATCAAGCTACTTATAGGAATCCTAAGAGAACCAATTGGGAGTTTTTCAAAGACGACCTGAAGGTAAATCTGGAGACCATCTCATGAAATATACGCACCAATTATTCATGGTTCACTTTCCTGATTCAAAACTGATTGATAATTAGGACGATGGACAAAGTCAGCAGAACCTGGGCACTGGCCAAAGCAGGACGAACAGGAGAGGCACGGAAACCAGCATGCCTACCAAACAGGTAAATCTACCAAAAGCACAATACATAATGTGGTAACACACATAGAAAGTGCGATTGAACACAAGGATATTGCCTTAGGAGCATTCCTTGACATAGACAGAGATTTCGATAGAATCTCATTTGATATAATCAAACAGGCCGCTGGAAAGCATGGCAAAGAGCCTGCAATATGCAGATGGATCAGTGCTATGCTGGAAAGCAGAACCACAGCTGCTACATTATCAGGAGAAACCCTGGGGGCGTCCACATGTAGGGGTTGTTGGCAGGGTGGCGTGCTCTTGCCTCTTCTGTGGGACCTGGTCAGCGATGATCTCCAGTGGCTACTTAATGATGATGGGTATTATACAGTAGGATATGCTGATGATATAGCAATCCTCATAAACGGAAAATTCCTTTTGACAGTATCAGAGTGTCTTCAAACAGCTCTGTACATGGCCCAATGATGGTGTGAAAGCACAAGCCTAATAAGATGGTAGTTATACCATTTACGAGGAAGAGAAATATAAAGGCCCTTAAGGAACCCACCCTCTTCAATAAGACGATCCAGCTCTCCAGTGATGTCAAGTACCTTGGTGTAGTATTAGACAAGGGACTGACATGGGAAAAGGCAGCTGGAAAATTTCATCAACTTTATCTCCATCTGTCCTGTACTGAGCAACCAAAGCTCTTCACACAATTTATGCAACTACCCACTTACAGATGTACTTACTTCATTAGGTCATTTTGTACGAGTTCAAGTTCCCGTCTATCTCGATTAAATTCATCGGTAACATCATGAATTTCCTGTTTAACTGCTTGTAACTTGGTGAAAAGTTTCTTCAACTTCTTAGTTTTAATTTCAACCTCCTGCTGTAGTGTTGTGTAGGTCTCTAGAATCTCTACAGCTGACTCCTCCTGCAGCTCTATTTGCTGCCTCATTTCCACTTCCAATTTCTGAAAGTGAAGATGAATATAAAATTTTAAATGCCTGACAATGGAGCCAAAGTCAACTCTGGTTACTGTTTTGTTTTTATTCGATTTGTCTGTATTGTTTGTTTCTAATGTGTAAATGTTTCAGCTTCCTAAATGGAATCGTAACATTTTGTAAAGGTCTGCATGAAGGTCACAACTTCAAAACTAATGCACATGTAAGCATAAATTCTGCACTGATAGATTCCTTAAGAAGAACTACTGCTGGACACCATGATGCATATTTCTGACCTTCTAAATAAAGAGGCATTTACATATTTCAGGTGGGTGAGGAGTACTGGCCTACTGCACACTAATAAGTACCTGACTTCAATAATTATTATATAGGAATTTATTAATAACAGAACACTGAAACTCTAGGAAAGCTTTTACTTTATGTACAGCTAGTAATGGCACAAAAATTGTGAGAATTCATGATGGTATGTTTGAAATTTACTTCAGTTTTGTCTGATTTGTTATGGAATGAGCCAGTGCAACTCATTCATTGTGCATTATGAATCAGGCTCATCATCACTATACAGTGGGCTGAAGGGCAAATTGAGAAGTTTAAAACTTACTTTGCGCTCAGCAATCTCCTGGTTACGTTGTTCCAGTGCCCTTTGCTGTTCATTTGTATGGTCAATGATGTTCTTCCCACCACACAACAATTTGCTCTCCATTGCCTGGATCCTTTCTTCCAACTTCTGGTTAACCAGTTTTTCATGTGCCAGTAACAGTTTTGTCTGTTGCTCATCGTAAAGACGTTTCTCCTAGCAGAATGTAAACCATTAACACCATGGGAACATTACGCCAAAGCTATAAAATGCTGAGGGTTATAAATCATGGACAACACACACAGAAGGAACACAAATTATCTCAACACATGCATCTACTACCACTGTATTATTAATCAAGGAATACCGAAGAAACATTTAACTTACACCAACTAAAAACATCACCTTCTGAAAGCTGATACAAACTGATGCAAGAAAGTGTCATTGCTTTCGAGGGCACTGTGACATAGATAAACGTTCAAGAGTTCTATCTTCTGGGATATAATGCTGGGTAGTATACTGAAAATCAGCCACTGTTTCAGAGGAAAATTTTGCTTCCACGGTCAGGGTTGAAGAATAGGCCAAGAGCTCTGCTTGCTACCTGCTTCATGCTACTTTCTTGCTTGGCTTATTTCTCAACACTTAAGGTGGAGGTGGCATGTTCCTCTGAGATGTTGGTTGATTTTCAATAGACTACACAGCATTATATCCCAGAAGATGGAACTCTTCACAACAACCACTGTTACAACCTTAAATCTTACAATGGAGATAGAAGTTTTATATAAATCATAATAAATGTTAATACTAAGGCAAGAATGGAGAACTGAAAATTGTCACAAAGAAGTGTCAATCCTGTTCACAAGGCAAAGACAAATGACTGCAACTATTATAATGCTGTATGGATTACTGTATGAACTGTTTCTTTAATTCTGCTTTTGCTCTTACAGGTCTTCAACAAGATACATGCAAAATTTTGTATTTTCTCCTCACTTGGAGATGATGTTTCAAGAGACCAATAAATACAAATTTTTGTTCAACCACTGTGGGTGCGCCATCCATTGTGACAGAAACTATGTCAAATCTAACATGCCCACACAAGCGTCATAGACATAAGGAGTATCAATATGCAAGTCAACACACCCGTTAACAGTATAACACAGTGCACCATGAACACCTACAGGACGACAATAATGGTACAACAAAAACAACAAAAGCCCACATAAGAACAAAATAGGGTTTGCTGAAATATTACAATATACCCATAAAAATGAGAGAACAAGGCAGTACACGTCTAGCCTCCTTCAAAAGAAATAATAAAAAAAAAGGACACAAACCAACTTGGTTTACAATTTCCAACAAAATTTTAACAAACTAATTGTAAATATTTTAACATATTAAGACAGCCACTGTAGCTGTTAAAACATTATATTTTATAACCATTGTACTTTGTCAGCATTGTATGTATATATCTTGGCATTCAAACACATTTTGTAATAGTGGATTCCGATTGTATTGATGTTCCCTCTGAGGATGGTCTGTAAAGACCAAAACATGTACGTGATGAAGGATTGAAATAAGAAAAATCTTTACTAGTTACACTGGATGGAACTGTTTAACCTCTCATGATACCGACCAGAATGAAACAAATCAAACTAACTCAAATTTTCAGGAACATCAATGGTAGTTCAAAACATAAACTGCATGACTAGATAGTTTAACAAGAAACATCATTCGTTGCTAGGCAATGGCACAGTAACCATGCCCCTTTGTCATCAAACAAGCCAGTCAATTCTTGGCAATGAATAAATATGCAACGGGAGAAATGTGAGAGTCAGAATTTTTCATGTGGTCTGACCTGAGGCTATATACCAAGTATGAATGAGAAAAGTTAGTCAGCGATGATTTAGTTGTTAGCCTGCTGCCACCCAGTGAGGAAGTGAGTACTGAAGCAGAAGAACCTCCATGCAACGACTATTGAAGACTATGACAGAGACAGCATGAGCTATAGCGATTTGTTATGTGTGCAGATTGGTGGTAGCATTATAATTACTTGTAGTTATGAGTTGTAAGTGTTCAATAAACCCAATTACCAATCCAAACCTTGTGCCTGATCACTAATATGTGACAATATCAACACCATGAGTCCGCTCTCTCAGTCCATAGATTTTTTTTTACTTCACTTGGTGCTGTGGTCAATGTTTGACCTATTGTACCAGCCCAAGATGACAGATAATGATGACTGTGGAGCAATCAGTGGAATGCAAAGTGGCAGGGGAAACTGAAGTACTCAAGAGAAAATCTGTCCCAGTGCCACTTGTCCACTGCAAATTCCACATGACATGACCTGGGCTTGAACCCAAGCTGCCATGGTGGGAAGCCAGCAAATAACCACATAAGCTATGGCACAGCCCAGTCCACAAATTGTCAACATTTCTTCATAAACCTCAAAGTCTTTTGAAATAAGATGAACACAGAAAATTAGCTATGCAGTGTCTGTGATATCACATAACTTGTCCAATGCTAAAGAAAAAAAATTCAGTCTTTCAATTGTACATGCAGTTGGCTTTCAATACTTTCACTGCCAAAAGGAAATGGCCTATCAAATTCACAGTGGTTTTGATTTTTTTAACTGATACCATGTTCCATTAAAAGCTTTCTTACACAGTATGCATATTCACTTTTAACTTGTTTCCACAACACCAACTGGCAACCTGCTATTCATTGTGAAATTTATAAGGAACTGCCATTTCTTTGTCCTTTACTGTTTGCATATAATTTTGCATGTAGTTTTGTATGTATGTGAAACTTGGTCTCTTACATTAAGAGATGAGCACAGACTGAGGGAGTTTGAGAACAGGGTAGTGAGGAGAATAAATGTACCTAAGGGATATGAAATAATAGGAGGCTGGAGAAAAATGCATAATGAGGAGCTTCATAACGCTCACTGTTCACCAAACATGATTAGAAGGATCAAGTCATGGAGGATTAGCTGGGCAAAGCATGCATCATACATGGGAGAGTTGTGCATACAGGATTCTGGTAAGAAACACTGAAGGAAAGAAACCAGTGGGAAGACCTAGATACAGTTGGGAGAATATCTATAGGGATCTTAAAAAAATAGGATAGATGGGTGTGGACTGGACTCATATGGCTCAGGACAAGGACCAGTGGCAGGATCACATAAACACAGTAACAAATTTTTTTGGGTTCCATAAAATGCTGGGAATATCTTGAGTGGCTTACTGGTTTCTCAAGCAGAGTTTTACTCCATGGAGACAGCTCCACAGCCAATTAGTATATGGAACACACTCAGTTGAATGGTGAACATTATGAAATCTTTATGCTTTGCAAACCTTGCATTTCATGACAAAAAAAAAGGGCTACTTACCTCCTCAGTAGCCTTATGCATTTTTCCTTTGTCCTTCTTATTATCAGCATAAGGGTCAGAGTCTTCTTCGCATTTCTTCTCTTGTTGGGCAGATACAAGTCTCTGCTGCTCTGAGAGTGCTGCTCGCTCTTGTAATCTCAAAGCTAGTAGGTTCTGCAGACAATAAGTGTTTTGTGGTTATGTATGTCATTTTGATAGCTTCAATTATACATTATTTAGAATGACAAGATTACAACTGGAGCAGTGAAAAAAATCTTGATTGTCTTGGGTTTTAGCACAGATAACGAAACCAAGCTATACATGTGAGTCATAATTTTGGGTACTTATGAAACTGTAACATCTGACATTACAGAACAGGAATATATTATTACTGGTATGTTCTAGCATCTGTAACCATATTTCAGGGGGTTTGATATGTCTTGTAGTGGAAGAGAATATGGAGGCAAGTACTATAACTCTGTCCATTTGTTTTCCATCACTAATGCAACTATGGGCAGTAGATGGCATACAAACTTTGGACATAAACACATTCCCATAATTACGTGACAAAGTTCATGTCATAAGGTGGCTGTAATTGAACCCTTTCCTGAGCCACATCTCCACAAAGCATGTCCTCAGTATTTACACCTCATTAATGCCATCTGGCATCTTTCCATGAGGTTTAGCCATTACAAATGTGTATAAACATTTCTTACATTTCATTACATGGCCAGCCCACAATATTATCTTTTAAGAATTTCTTTATTAAAACCGTCACAACACAACTATATTAAGGTCAGTGCCTAGTTTGGCCCTGCTACATGTTTCGGCTATTAAAAGCCATCATCACGCAAATACATGGCTAACATATTGTGACATGTTGCGCAACGGAGGACCCCTACCTCCCCAGCGGCACGTGGCGGTAACGTAGCGCTCATAATAGGCGAGCCATTACTCCGCCACTCTCCCCGTGGTGATGTGCCGAGTGGAGCCGAAGTTAGCTGAGTCCCCGCAACCTGGTAGCTATGCAACGTGAGTCAACAGCAGTGATATCACAGTTGCTAGGCAGCAGTCAACAACTCCGGACAGCGTTGCTAGCAACACGGCACCAGACGACAATGGTCCGGAACGAGGCTACATAAGGAGCAGCGGAGGCTATTCACAGTTAGTTCTGAGCAAGCCTACGAGTCAGAGTGTGTTATCAACAGTTCTCAAGGCAGCTACCTACGAGTTAGTTCCGAGTTAGCCAGCAACCAGTCAGTTGCATTCTGGCATTTGGAGTGTAGTATTTGTGATACTGCAGATAGCAGTAATTGTGCATCTGTAATTTGGGTGATTGTAAGTGCGAATGTGAAATAAAATTGGCTATATCAAATATGGCGTGAAGTTATTTGTCGCGTTATACACCCAATACGTTACAATACATACACCACTGAACTGCAGTACTAATAAAATTGGATACAATAATATTACTTGTATTAAAATACTTGGTGTACAAATACAATGAATTAGATGCTATAAAACAAGAATAAAATTCTTCGAGTGATGCTTTACATCATCGAATCAGTCATTGGTATTTGTGATTTTGTTGTGTTCCCATGGACAAATTGGAGTATTCTATATTTTGTGTATATAATAAACTGTTTTGGAGGCTCATGATGTAGATGTAGTAATATTAATGTTAATCTGAAAATGATATGAAAGTAATAGTATTAAATTTTGTTATAATCAAATTGTTGATTATAACAAAATTTAATACTATTACTTCATAATCAAGTTGATGATTATTCATTCATCCATAATCTGTCAAGACGACAGGTTCACAGTCTCTTCCAAAACAGTTCCTCCACTTGATGCGATCCATGCATTTGCCTGATCATGACTTTTAACAGCCGAAACATGTAGCAGAGCCACACTAGGTACTGACCTTAATATAGTCGTGTTGTGATGGTTTTAATAAAGAAATTGTATATTGTAACACAACAGGATGCATGAAATGAAAAAAATATCCTTTAACAATTGAAGTACTGTGCCATTTTTTTTATTACAAACAGAATTTACAGTATATCCAAAACTGTGCCAGTTTCATTAAATATTTAAAACTGTTACACCTAAGTAAAAAAAAAAGACCAGAAAGTATCATGTGATATAAATAAATACAGAACTCCACCATTGGGGGGTGTAAGTTACATTAAACAAGAATTTATGATATCCAGTCTTCTTTAACTACGTCCACCTATGCATGCAAAACCAGTGGAAGCTAAAAATTGATACTTAAGTAACTCTGTAATCAATCCTTATTCATACTTCTCTTTTTTTTTAATGCTAGTGGGGTGGGACTAAGTCCCTTGTACTGCGGCCACTACTGGCATATTCTACCAGCCCCAGATAGGTGAGGGTGATTGTGGAGTAATTGGTGGAAGGAAGATTGGCAGGGGAAACCGAAGTACGCAGAGAAAACCTGACCCAGCACCACTTTGTCCACCACAAATCCCACTTGACCAGACCCAGGATCGAACCCGAGCCACCGCAGTGGGAAGCCAGTGACTAACCGCTTGAAACATGGCGCAGCCATACTTCTCCTTACTTGAAAGTCAAAAGATTGTAATCTTTTGTTTAATAAAATGGGTCTTCCTCTCAATTCCACTGTCTCATTTTCTGGTATTATGAACTGCCCCAGATTTGTGGTTACATGAGATAATGCTCCAGGCATTTTATACTTACCTTCAGTCTCGCAATTTCGGTTTGGTATTCCCGTAGCAGAGCATCCTTTGGATCTTCATTAACCCTTGGCTTATTTTTTATGTTTTTAGCTCTGTTCGCATACCTTAACGTGGTAAGGCTTTCATCATAATTATAACTGGCTGGACCAATATTGGCAACCATTATTGTCTTTGAGTTTCCACCTAACGAGTCTGTAAATGAAATACGAACATTTAGAGATACTGCAGTCACATCAATGTCATGATAATATGAAAGGCACTGTCATAGTCACCACAGCAAGTTAACTACACAAACAGATATTACATTAAAGGTATAGGTAAAGTTATCCTTGTAACAGGTCATGGAGGCCCACTGGGCTGTGAAACATTCAGGCTCCCACATTTTCTAGACAATAGGTTCATAGATGGTGGAGAGGTTGTCAGCCTTATGTGCCAGCTGCCCTTTACCCCCAGGAAGATTCCTGGTGTTCATTTCTGTTAGAGGCTGAGTCAAACCCAGGGCCATAGTGCACCTTGAAGGATTAGGTGAATTGATAAAAATCTAATGATCTCATCAGTAATCAAACCTGCAACCTTCTGGCTCGTAGTATAGTCCCTCAATCAACTACACTACTGTGAGCCCCAGATATTATGGTAAACCTTGTTAATTTAAAGTGCTTCAGACTGAAAATCTGACTTCAAATTATGCAGTTCATGAACAGTTCAACTGCTGGGTGGGTAGTTGAAGTTCTAATGTTATGCTGTAAGGTGTAACATTTATTTACTTCCTAGAGCTCATCTTTTATTTATTTAAACACATACTACATAACTGAATACAATTTACATAAAAGAGCAAGCCCACAAATAACAATTCACATTTCTTAAAACTCTGATCTTAGTTTACTGTTTCTTAAAAAATGGTTCAATTGACCTTAGTTTCAGAGAGTCCTTATACACTTTGATACAGGACCCTAAGTTCATCCACAGCTTTAAGAATGATCTCGTCGGCATCATTCGTACTGTACTGTACTCATATGATAAGACACAGACACACTGTCTGTGTATATTCTGTGATAGAAACTGTCAAAGTTTGTTCTGAACATTACATACATTCAACAAGGGCATCATCTGTCACACATACAATGTCTCAGCGATATTCAATCTCCATTAATATATTCTGTAACATGTCAACATCAACTACTGCAACAGCAGCTTGAATCATCAGTCAAGTTCTGCAGTTCCAAGCGAGCAGTTAGTCGAGAGTTGGGATCTGCAAGGGAGGCTGAGAAGATGGCACTATGAGTTCAGTTGGCAATCAGGTTGTAAAGAGAAAACTTTACATGTGATGTAGTACAGTGATATTTGGAGTGTGCAATTCAGTGAAACTGTTATAGTTCCAGTGTTAAAATCTGTTGCAGGAAACACATACGGGAGACTCTTAATAAACTGAGGACACTAATGTGTGTAAAAGCAAACTGTAAAGCATGGAAATATGGACGGTGTTATAGCTGTCTGTAGTACGACATGCAAGTGGTCAATAAATCCAATAATCCAATACTCTACCTATAGTCATGCACCATAAAATTGAGACAATATTTTCTGATAAAATTCTGTACTTATGGCTTCATTCTCAAAAGGATGCCACTGACATGCATTTCAGTCCCCAATATGTGATCATAACAGCATGTCTGACTCATGTACATTCAATATCTGCAGTCCTGCTTGGCATCTGAAACACATTCATAGATGCTGACTGACAATACTGCCTCCAGCCTAAACACAAATATGTTTGATTATTGTGACATTTCAGTATGACCTACTACAGCTCAGACTGCCTGGAATACTCTGAGTTGTTTTGTACACCAAAAACTGTGGAAGTCACAGCCAGGGAAACAAATCGGTATGCCCAATTTTTTTTTTAGAAAAGACATCCAATCTGAACTAAGATCTAGGACCCATCACTGGAAGGAGATGAACAGAAATGGAAAAATGAAGTTGCTGGGATTCTATCTGATACAAGGACTTCACCAGAAACCAGATAACAAGGGGTATTTTCCCCCGAAGAAAATTCTGGAAACATCCATATATTTGGATCTGTTCAGTGAGAGGTTTCATCTACTCAAGTTTCTTCATTTTACTGACAACAAAGTTACAATGAGGCCACTAGTGGTTCCAAAAGACTGTATAAACTCAAACCCATACTGGATCATCTAACTGCCAAATTTAGGAGTGTATATATCCCCCCCCCCCCCCCCCACANTGTCAGTAGATGAGTCTTTGATGATGTGGAAGGGTCATTTGTTGTGGAAGTTATACATTCTTTCAAAATGTGCTAGACTGGTATAAAATCATTTGAATTGTGTGAAGCCAACTCTGGTAATGTATGAAATTTTATTATTTACAGTGGGCAAGACACAGTTTTCAATGAGTCCCCAAAAATGAACCATGTGATTCAAAAGTAGTTCTACAAGTAATGGCTCCTCTACTGAATCAGGGATACTGTGTAATCATGGACAACTGATTTTCAAGACCAGATCTATTCCATAAGTTGTGCAGCAAACAGACTGATGCTATGGGAACTTTGCATCAAAACAGGAGATAAAGAGCACAAAACTGAAAAAGGGAGTACATTTTTTAAGTCTACAGGCTAATGATAATGAAGTGGAAAAACAAAAAAGATATTATATGTATACAGTGGCCGTCCTGTAGTGCACACAATTTCACCTGTCACTTCACATTTTTCAGCAACACAGTGCCATCATCAGGTGTCCCAACTACGTCAATCTATTGCATTGCTTGCCCTCATGTTTTCACAAACCATTTAAAAAGTCTGTATTTGTCAACTATGATAAATTTACACTCATTAAAACTTGTATGTGGTATACTTGTACACATATAATGGATGAAAATCAGTGCAACAGGACGCTAAAATATAACATTAAAAAAGATATTTGTCTTATGAGTACTACTCATGATAAATGGTTCCAACTAGAATTCAAAGGAAAGACACGGAGAAGCCCAAAGCAGTCACTGATTATTATTCCGGGATGGGAAGTGTGGACCTCAGTGATGCTTACTCAACAAGCTATTGCAGTACAAGGAAAAGACTAAAAAAATTACTATAAAAAGCACTTCAGTCATCTGATTGATATCTGTTGTTTAAATTCATATTTACTGAAGCAAGAAAATAAAAAAAAAACAGGGGCAATATTTGCAGGAGGGAATTTCAAGCGAAACGTCCAGAAAATTTCAATTCAAAATATCATATAACAGAAGACGGACCATTAGGCAGACCACCAGAAACTGTTCCAGCAACAAGGATGAATGCTCCTCATTCTCCCCCATACACTGCTACAACAGTTTCAAAGTAAACTTGTATCGGCACTGTGTTGTGTGTTACAAAAAGGATCAGCATCATGAAACAAAGTACAACTGTGAAAGCTGCAGGGTGGCCCTGTGTGCTGCACCATTTCCAATGTTGCCATATGGCGGCTTACTTCTAGACGTGTGAAAGGTGACCAAAGTTCAACAAATGGCTAAGAAATGTCTAAATGTAATGTTTAAGTAGTTAGAAAGTGAACTATGGGCTGGTATTAAAAAGTACACCATAATTATAAAGACCTCACACTAGGTGTCACTGTAGTTGCAATGTTTCCTGTGGTATAATCATTTTAGTGATGATTTCACAGTCTGTACATGATAATGATTTTGGAGGTGATGTTTGTAAGAACAAATAGCTTTTGTTGCACAGTTCATTCATCCACAGTAGGCTTGAACTTGCAAAGGAAGCACAAATTCAGCCCACACAGGAATAAGAAACATGTGATATCAACGAGGCAGAGCTGTAGTAGGTCATAGTGAAATGTAATAATAATCAAATATGTGAGTGCGTGTTTAGGCTGGAGATGGCTGTGTCAGTCAACTTCTATGATCACGTTTCATTTCTAAACATCAGACACTGTTTAGGACTGCATAGTGAATGTGCACGAGTCAAGACATGCCACTGTGATAACATATTGGGAACTGAAATATGTGTCAGTGACAAGAGTAGCATACTGTGACATGTTGCGCAACGAAGGACCCCTACCTCCCCAGCGGCACGTGGCGGTAACGTAGCGCTCGCGTAATAGGCGAGTCATCACCCCGCCACTCTCCCCGCGGTGACGTCACGAGCGGAGCCGAAGTTAGCCGAGCCCCCGCAACCTGGTAGCTATGCCACACGAGTCGACGGCGGTGACACAACAGGATGATGTGGCACTCATTACGCAACAGGCAAGCACTGCGACTATATAAGTGAGCCGCACAGCGGCTGCGAGTTAGTTGTAATGTGGCCATCACCGAAGACATTTCCGAGTTGTAAAGTAACAGTCGCTGAGTCGAGTTGACATATAGCAGCAGTCACCAAGTTCAACAGTAGTCGAGCGAGTGTGTTATCAACAGTTCTCAAGCTAGCAGCCTGCGAGTGTGCGATAACTAAGAAGTCATCGAGCGGAAGACTTATAGTGTGCTTTCGAGACTTAGTGAGTGCTGTAGTACAGTTATATCTGGAGTGTGTAATCCTTGTTTCATAATTTTGTAACGACACATGTGTATAAGGGGTGGGCCATAAAATCTGGCCCTCACACTGCGATCTTCAATTATCTATTGTGCTTCCGCTTTGGATTAACCCTTTATTAATCCTATACTTCAAATGAAATATACGACTTCATTTATGGGGTCGCCATAAAGGTCAATTGGTTCCATGAAGAACTGACCCAGGTGACGAAATCTTAAGCTATGGCCTCACAAACACACAGGATATAAATGACACGTCGTTAAGACACTTAATTTTAACAAGGAAGCAACAAATTATAAAAATAAACACCGCAGTAAGAAATTTAAATGTCCAGGAAGCTTTAATGTCTCACTGTGGGAGAGATCAGAACACAAAATATATATACTTAACTGGTTAACTAAAATCCTCATCAACATTTGATAGAGTTCATTAAGTAAATAATTATTGCCATTACCAGTCACACATGCAGTTGTCTGGACTGCTGCTTGGCTCTTATGTTTGCTTACACTACATCAGCTGTTGCAAATGGCATGTGGCATCAAGATCCTGAAAATTTCGCGGTTATGGATTTTGTAAATCCTGAACTCATTATTTCTCATCAATATAACTCCGTCAAGACCTGAGACTGAAATCCTGCTAAATATAGAATGACAAGGGA